TGCATGTAAACTCTTACTCTGATTTCTTTCGGAACACTCAGTCTGCACATGTGCGAAAACAGACGCCAGTACCAGAAATAAGCAAGCAGCGCTGCCACAAGAAGCAGCGAAACACTTTTGGAGCGACAATGAAACCAAGTACATTCTTGATGAAGGAATGAAGGATTTAAATATTATTGATCTTCTAGATACGTATGTTTGTATTTTCAGATAAAGCGGCTCGATGTTTTAAAAAAAGTCACGGCATGTAATTTGAGTTTAACATTACATTTACATCACGTCTTCTTCTGTGAGTTTATTGGCTGGTTGCAAAGCAGAAATCCGATTACTGCCCAACTCATGTAAAGAGTTTCAAAGGTGCATGTAAACACGTTGATAAAATTACTGACAAAATCTGATTTTCTGCAGTTATCTGATTATTAAGTGCATGTAAACGCACTCAGTGTCTACATGTCTAAATATAAAAATTCCTAAATGGCTGACTCGAGCGTGGGGTACTTGGAAAAACTTCTAGGGAAAAAAAATCATTTTAATTGATGTAAAACTTTTGCATTTCAAATAATTAAAATTGAAAAATGTCTTTTATACTCCTATATCTTGTTTACAAAAAAGGCTTATTTAAATCACCATTCACTGAAAAGTTCTTTAGGGAAACAAAAGTGGTTCCTCTATGGCAGTGATCACCGACCCTGGTCCTGGAGAACTCAATATGAAAACTCGTTGGAAAACTAGTTTGAAACTGCACAGGTATCTAACAAAGATGTGGTGGTTACCTGGTATTCGTGGCCTGGTCCAGTGTTGGCTAAAATATAGAGCTGGTTGTCTGAGTGCTCTACATGGTACAGCAGGCCAGGCTGACGAGGCTGCACTAGCGTGGGATGTGAGAGAGGAGATCTGCTGTCAATCATCCAGACCTCAGAACTGCTTTTACTGCTGCAATTTACTGTTAGTATCCTCTGGTCTTTGGAGCGACTGACCTCCACAAAGAACCTGCAGAGAATATGAACATTTCTTCTTCAGTATAGAAGCACAGGCACAGTCACAGGGGAGAAAGAGGTAATAGATGACAAATGTGACTGACAACTGTTTACGTTCTTGGATATACCACTCTGGGTGCATAGATGTGTGAATTTTGAATTTTGAATTTTTGGGCTGTGACGACAAGCAATTCTGAAAAATATGTAAACTGGGACAGAATTAGTGATACATATCAGTTTTTTTCCTTATGTAAAACCATGTGTACTTTACAGTTACATACTCAGTATATTTAGGACAGTTTCAATTACGCCCAAGGGGGTAACAAACATACATCTTTTCACGAGTATGAGTTTACAGGTTAAAAAAAAGTTTTGAAAATATATACATCAACTAATATTTCTTTCACCTTAGAGTTTATGGTTGCTCATGGTTTGTTTGCCCCTTTTAATGCTCAGAGCACCAAAATGAAGCCTGAAGCTTCAAACTCACATACAGCGCTACTGCAGAGCTTCAGCTCCTGCGTGAATGTCAGTGCTGAACATTTGTGGTGGTGTTATGTTCCGTGTTTGGTTTGACTCATTCTGCTTTGCTTAAACTCTGTTTAAATAGAGTATTAATATTTCTTCTGCATAACAGTATTTCTGTTTAGTTTTTTAATGATGAAGAAACTAATGGAAATAGTTCAGAATTACTTACTTTAGGAGATACAAGGTTCTGTTTTCGACAGTGACGACATGCAACTTTTTAAAAAGAAATGAAACACTCTGAAAGCAGATAGCCAGACACACTAATGCTTTCTTACTCTGGATCTTTTTCCTTGTACACCAGTGTGCTTTGGGCTCCAGTGTCGGTAAGGTGGAGTCTGAAAACATGCCTGCACTGAAGCCCTTCTTGAGTGGTGTAGAACAGCACATCATCAGTGGCCCACTCTGTGATGAGTAAGAAAGAGAATAAAATCAGTCATTTTATCAATAAATGATTATCTAAAGGACCACCGAAAGGTCCTTCGTATAGAAGACTGTTTCAAGACTGAATTGATCTGGACTGGATCATACATTCACTGACAAGTCATGATAGTTTTCCTCCAATTCGTACCTGATTTAATCTTGCAAATCAGGAGATCAATATGCTAGAACAGCACCTCTAGCACAGTGAGCCTGAAGTGACTTAGGCCTAAAAATAGGCCTGTTATAAATTCATAAAGGGCTTGTTAATTAGCCCTAGTACACTAAGAGAAGACTCAGAGGGCTCCTTGCTCAAGCTGAATAGGACTCTTGGCCTTACCAAAGCTGAACACCTTGTCCAGGATGAGCAGGGGTTTCTGAGGTGTAGTAAGCTGCTCTAATTGAACCAGCACACATCTGGCCTCCTCACAGTGATTGTTCTTCACAGTAGCTGCCAGTACAGACTCTGTAGGAGAGAGCCTGACCTTCTGAATGGTCCCATCCACATCTCCTGCCCAGTCAGCATGGAGCACCGGCACCAGGTCTTGCTCACCTGAGGGAAAACACACTTCTGATTGGACATTCATCCGCTTATAACATGTGCAACCGACACAATTAAAATAATAAGCAAAATCAATAAGCGAAAGACATGAAGCAAAGATGGGAGTTTACCCTCTCCATGTGCCACTCTGAAGATCCCAGAACCCTCCACAATGTATACATGACGAGATCCCTGGAACTACAGGTCAGAGTAAGATTTCTATAAGATGGACTGATTCATCATCACATTATCCAGGTCTACTGCTTTAGCTCAAATAAATAATTTATATAAAAGTTCCTTACTGCTGCGTGGTCAGGCACATCGGTAAACTGCTGATAAACTGAACGTAACCTTCGCTCAAAACGCTGCTCAAGGCTTCTCAGTTTCCCCAGCTCAGCCTCTGAGTAGTGGACCAAGGTAGTTACACATCTCTGTTAAAAAAAAAATCTATCATGTAGGTCTTTTTTGTAAATAATGTCACTATCTTAGCAAAGTGTTTTCTTCATAAATGCAAAATATTAAAGAGCCCATATGCTTCTTGTATTTATTTTTTTTTCACTGAGCTCCACTTATAATGTTGGAATGTTTTTCTACCAAAACCTGTCATAATTCTTTTTTACATGATCATTTTCCAAACTTTCTTTATCCCTTAAACAGGCTGTTTTTGTTTCTGTGCCTTTTAAAACCGACATATGTGAATGAGTTTTGTTCTGTATTGTGCCTCATTCAAAAAGCAGTCTGGGCTGAAACACTCTTTATAACTTGAGTGTGAATGAGCGGTGCTAAACTGCTGTAGGCTTAATAGGCGGACATATTTAAATGAGTTGGTTTTCTTGATATCAAAAAAATAAATAAATCAGTAAGATGACTGTATGGACTGGGGAGTAAACAGTACATTACAAAACTTTAACAATCTTTATATATTAAACTCTTCCATTTAAAAAAGAGGAACCATTAATATTCCATTATATGAGCCATTAAAAAACCTTTCACTGTTTTCAGTTTTAGCACAGAATTTCTTGGCTTTTGGTACAATCTTTGTTAACGAAATGTAAGCTGTAAGGTTCTTTCTGCAGTTGGAAAATGTGACTTATACCATGTAATACCATGACACTCATATGCCATTTAATCTTTCTTCCCCTGTGGCTTGTTTCGTTTTTCCTCTTTCTATCTGTAATGATACTATTGTTGTTCTTTATTATATAGTAACTTATATCTGCACATTAATAGGTTTGCACGTCTCTGCGTGTTTACACATCGTATGTTTGCAACTGTTATGTTTTTGCACTGATCTGTCAAGTTTATGAACATATTTTGGCAAATGAAGTTAGTGATATTCTTTATTACCTTAATTAAAAAAAATTAAAATGATGTGGACGATCTGCCGATTTACCTTAAAGGGGAATTCCACCAATTTTTCAAAATTTCTGAATAAATAATTCAGTACTTGAGATGTAAAGTCATTCAGAGTGGTTTGATGTAAAATGGTTCATTGTAGAGAAACTTTCAGAGTCAGATTTCAGATTTCTCAAGATTCTCAGCGGTGTTGATATGAACCAGGGGTCACAATGTCTACAACACAAATAGCCATTTTATTTACTATCCAAAAACACCACATGCCTGCTGAGTTTTTATATGTAATGTTGATGATGGTAAAATAGTAGTAAATCTGAAAAAATAAGTTTTCTTTGGGGACTATTTTGCCTTACAACACCCTTCATGCACCTCCCCACCATAAATGGATAAAAAACAAACAAATTAAAATATATATTTTAAGCCAAAATTTTATCACAAAACTGTCATAAGGCATTAAGCAGCATTTATCTAACCATTTCATGTAATAACTTCCTGTGAGGGAGCTTTTAGAGGCATTAAACTCTTCAGACGTCTGGTTCCTATCACCACCACTGTGAACAATTCTGACTCGGTTAGCTTCTCTAGAACGGAGCATTTCACACCAAACCACTCTGAACGACTTTGTTTACATCTGAACCAGTTAATTATGGAGAATTAAAAAAAAAACAGGTGATGTTTCCCTTTAAACTTCAGCAACATTGAAGCAAAATTCATGAAAGGAAGTTTTTGGACTGAGTAGCCTGAGTTGATGGATGTGTGGAGGTACTGCGGCAGTCTGTCTTACCGCTGTATAGAGGCGTGTAGTTGGACGGATCCACCTCCTCTGACTGTAAAACCGACCTGCATTTACGCTTCGTGACACTGAACGCAGAACAGCAGATGAACTCATTTAATGCATCAGGCTTTCCTTTCAGTTCATTCAAAACTATAAGCCATACGTAGCTACGTCTCAAAATGCTCCGAAATGCAGCTGCCAGCCTGTCTTATTCTAATAAAACTATTTTGTATTTGTTGTAGTTTACAGTTGCTTCCATGTTTACATGTGCATCCAAAAAGTGAGCGACGCCGAAATATGACATTTCAGGCAGACAGGAATAACAGATCTAAAAGCATCAGACTCAACTATGGGAATCTGTGTTCGATGAGCTTAGTTATAGATTGCTTTCCCTGGGCAGAGGAAGTGTACGGAAGCAGCGTGCCTTACTGGAGGAGCCTGGATACCGGCGGAGCGGGAGAAACCGCGGCTGTTTGGGCTGTTTTTAGTGGCGCTGTGGCGGCTTTTTTGTAGATTATCGGCAGCCGACAGCGACAGTAGCTGCATGAATCATTTATTCAAACTGTTTATCCCTCACGAACACTGTAATTCGTTGTTTAAGTGAGAAATGGACTCAAACCGAGCAGGTAGTCCGAGGATGAATGAGATTAAAGACTCCAACTGTGGGAGCGACGTGGCTCGAGCTCGGTGGACCATTCTGCGACAGGTGAGCGCACTTCTGCTCAGCTAACGGCTAGTTTATTGTCCAGCTCGGTGTTCCTCAGCTCCAGACTTGCAGCCCACCTGAAGCCCACCTGTACACAGCGGTTCGGTGTAATTCCAGCAAACACACAACATTGTCACAACGTTCACTACTTTCTTACAACGTTGTCAAAAGGTGGTGCTGTTTACATTGCCTGAACAAAGTTGTCTCGAGCTCATTATTGTGACCGCCTATTAGCAACTTAATGCACAACATAAAGGAAGCTATGAGGGTTCTAGGAGGTTGTGGCAACGTACTGACAACGTTGCCACTGCGTTGTGACAGTGTTGTCAGATAACGTTGTCACAACTTTCTGAGGAATTACATTTCAACGTTGTGACGACGTTGTGACCACGCTGTGGGCACCAAAGCAATGGGATGACAGTGTTGACAGGTGCAGGGAAACACAACATTTATTTTGTGATTCAGACCATGCCTTCAGCATGGTGGTAGTATGAGGAAAGACTGATTGAGGGAGGAGGAGAACACTGAGAACTTGGGCTGGAGTTCTGGGCAGCTTCAGCCTGTATCTAGAAGGCCAGACCCCCCAACTCATAGCTGCAGGAGGACTGATGCAGGACTGAGAAACTGAAAAACATAACTTTAGTGTTGTGCAGGTGCTCTACAACAGGGGTTCTCAAACTTCTCCATTTCAGGACCCACCTGTTTATCACTAGAAAGCACGGAGGCCCACAGGAAAACAAAGGTCCACCTTTTTGCCATTTTTGGTAAAGTTTCAACACAGCTATGTTTGGGTGTCTACCCTCGCAGTATGCAGTACATATCAGTGAACATAAAATATCAACAGAATGATAGCAAATTAAGTAAAATGTCCTTCTAACACATTTTTGGGGGAGCAGATTGGGGTTTGTGTCAATACTTTTTTCACTGATTTTTATGACAAAGTGCCATCACTGGCCCACAATAGATCACAGGCCCCCCTTAATATTGGCCCGAGGACCACCAAAGGGTGTTTTGTGGCCCATGGGTAATCCGCGGCCCACGGGTTGAGAAACCTTGTTCTACAACAACAGTGGTTCCTCACTGTCAGGGTTGGGCAAAGTAGTGATGGCTGAATAATGAACACACTGTCCTAAATGTATTCAGTAACATATTCCATTACAATAAATAAAAAAGTAACATATCCGGAATACATTTAGTATACTTACTGATAAGATCCATGAAAAATCTTTCTTTCTTATCACCTGCTTCAGTCCACTGCTGCTCTCACAATCCTACGAGCAGGAGTGCAGCGCAACACCAGTGCTAAGCTTATCACTTACAAACATGTCCACTACTGAGGAGAGTATTAGTTTGATCATCCTTCAACAAAGCTCAGTATTGCTGAAATTAACTAGCTTTCACCGTGATTTATCAGCCTTATCAGGCTTTTAGCCAAGCTTAGTAACTGAGATTAATAACTGATCATATATTTTTAGAATAAAGTGTTTTTTATTTAGTTGGTAAGTATTCTAAAAGTATTCTCCCGAGGATGTGAAAAGTAACTGTATTTTGAATGCTGCCTTTACTTCGACTAAAAACGGATACATTTCTGTATTCTGGATGTGTTCCCGATTAGTAGAGGTAGGCCGTGTGTTAAAATATAATATCACAATACTTTGATCAAAAAGGGTCAGTAGTGCCACATTTAAAGTGTCTTTCACATATTTCGCTGCACTAAATTCAGTTAGACGAAACTAAATATGCTTTTTATAAACAAATGTTTTTATATGCTTTTATAATGAAGCATTCAGTTGGTTATTGCTCTAGAAATACTGACTATATCCACAGTGTACTCAGAAAAACATATTATGGTGAAGTACTTTACGACTAATGATAAATAATGATAAATATTGTCATATTGCCCAGCCCTACTTTTTAATGTTATCCATGCTCCAACACACCTGATTCAACCTATCAGCTATTTAACAAGCCGCTACTGAGTTGCAGTGGGTGAATCACACACAGGATATGCTTTGTTTTCCTGATAGCAATACATACACTGTAAAGATACCTTTGCAAAGGCTTGCAAAGCTTAAATGTGTTGAATGGAGTGTTCTTTTAGAGCCTATACTGTGTTACCATCTACAAGCGTGCTCCCTTCTGGTTTTGACATAACCTGTCAATTCCTCTTGTTCCAGGTGTTGAGGCAGCGACAGGTCGACAGTGCTGAGGTTCAACAGGTGTCAGTCCGCAGGTTCTCTTCTTTCAACCTGTTTTCTAGGATCAAGGTTCCCTCGTCAGAGAGTGACGACCCATTGGATGGACAGTGGGTTGAGTACAGAAGTGCCTGCTTTCCCCAGTACAGTGCCTTACTCAGGTTTGTAGTAAAAGATGTTCTTTTCAAGATTTCTGTATGATTCAGTTGTTGAGATGTAAACAAAGTCATTCAGATTCAGGTTAGTTGGTCTAGGCTGGTTCTGAATAGACTTCTTTTCCAATGTGCTTTTCTTGATTTTGCCTGATCTGTAGCCCATGGATTTGCCTGCAGAGCTGACTAGCATGTGAATCTACATGGCTACCAGATCAAAGATCGAAACAATGCAAGGAAAGTATTTGGGAAAGCAAGATTCATGCAACTTGGACGTACATGAGTTATGATGAGGTTAGACTCGTAACATTAGCTGAGGTGTCGAGATTTAGATTGTCGGCCCTTTCTGTGTTTACTTCAAGCCATGTGAGATCTAATCTGGGATTCTTTTTTGGGATTTAATGTAGTGCAGTACAGTAATATTGTCAGTTTGCTAGTGGCTGAGTGAAATATTACAAAAAGCGAGTGAAATCCACCAATAACAAAGTGAAATATACCAATAATTTTAGAGTTAAATCAAAAATCATATGGATTCTCTGTGAATATTCATTTGTAAACTGTACATGGGCTTTAAGTGACTTGAAAATTCTAAATTTCTCGAAAGTACAAGCACTTAAACACACCAGCTCTGAAAAATATCTGTGAATGAAAGAGGTGATATATGTTAGCGTAAGTGGAATATGTTAGCATATTCAGGTCAGTCCACTGTTTGTTTGGGGGCTTGAATGCTAATTTTATCAAAATATATTTGTTTGGCCTCCCTCTGGAGTTGGTTAAGATACACTTAATTTCATTTGACAGGACTGTGTCACTAAACCACAATAAAACAATAGTCTTTTTAAGCTCTCACAGTGTTTGTCAGTATTTGCCGCATGTAAACAAAGCACAAACCCTGCCAATATAGTGGAATGGTCCCATAACGCAGTGTGATGTGACATAGTGCCTGTTTACACCTTGCACTAACCTGTGTTTTCAGTGATTGAATGATGTTTGAATTTCACTTGACCACATGAAAAGCCAGGTGTAAACACCCCCAAGATGCACTGTGAGTGGATTACAATTGGACCTCTCAAATGATGTTTGGAGGTGGCCAGAGACTGATCTTGACATTTAGACTCAAGTGTAAACGTAATACGTTTTCGTTATCCATGTACAGTTATGTGAAAGGAATTGCATCTGCCAAGCGCTGCCTAGCAGGAGAGGATAAATAATGAAACAAAAGATGGCAGGAGTTAGCCCCAAATCAAGAGCACAGGCCGATAAAGGGTCTAAGCCAAAGTGTAGGAACAGGTAAAAGAGTAAACAAAAGGGAAACTGAAATGATGTATGTGTTGATGTCCTTTTTTTACGAGGGAAAAGTACAATTGAATGTCATCTGGTCACACTGGGGATGCATTTTAGTGAAAAGTGTAAATGAAATCTGCACAAAGTTTATCCAGATACGTTTCAGACATGAAACACATGTTAAATGTGAACAGGCTCATAGATTTCCAATCCCTCTAGAGCAGGGGTGTCCAGTCTTATCGGCAAAGGGCTGGGGTGGCTTCAGGTTTTCACTCCAACAAAGCAGGAGGTCACCTGATGAAATATTTGAAGACTAAGACAACTGATTAAAAAAGTAGGATCAGGTGTGCTCTAGCTTGTTTGGAGTGAAAACCTGCAGCCACACCAGTCCGTGGAGGATAAGATTGGACACCCCTGAGAGAGCAACTCTAGAGGATTCAGATTGCTTTACAGTGGTGGTGATAGGAACCAGGGGTCGTGATGTCTACAATACAAATATAGCCATTTTATTTACTATCCAAAACCACCAGTGAACCTACACAAGTCTTTTGAGTTTTTATATGTAGTGTTGATAATGGTGAAAAAATGTCCCACAACACCCTGCATGTCTCTCTCCACCATAAATGTACAAAAAAAAGCCAAAACCTTAACTCAAAATGATCATAAAACATGTCTTAGGGATCAGGCAGCATTTTCATTTTCATAATGCAGTGCATATCAAATCACTCTGAATGACTGTTAACATGTCAATGATTGAATTATGCTGAAATTCTTATTGTTGAACAGAAATGTTTATATCTTAACAATTTATTGTGAGTGAAATTCCCTTTTAAGGTGCTTTTCCACTGGAAAGTGTGATATGGAATGGTACAGTTACTAATCTAATGGACAATCAAGTAACTGTCCTTACCTGATCAAGTACCTGTATCCATTTCTCTTTACATAATGGTACTCATGAATGTAGTTGGGGTTGTGAGGTAGTGAAAGGATTTCTCACGCAGTTCGCAGTGTTCAACAATAAACACTGGAAACAACAAAATTTGTAATCATGAATTCGTAACCGTATCATGCCATACTGCATTGTCTGGTGGAAAAGCACCCTTACATATATAGTGAGAAACAGAAATATAAAAATATGTTTTTGATACATATTCATAAAACTAGTTTCAGTTATTCATTTGGGGCTAATGAATGATTCTAATTGCTCAAGTATCAGATCCCCTAATTGTAAACACATAAAAGAGCTGTGTTTGTGTATGGTTGGTTGTAGTCATTGGAGTTGTGGTCTTGTTTTGATGTAAAAGGCACAAAACGTTGAAAACTGGACAACTGAATTTGATGGAAAAGCAGGGAGTTTTGAACATGAGATTAAAGCAAAGGTGGAAAAACTACTGGAGGTGTAAGCAATCTGCAGCCATTAGGCCATCCCAGCAAGACCACAGCAGCTGATGACAGGAACTTTTTTAGAGCTATGTAGAAAAAGATAGACAGTCTTTAGCATACATGGGTGAAAGTGTCAGTATTTACCATGGAGAAAGAGAGGGACTGCAAATAGTCCTCTGCATACCACTCCATCTGTAAAGCATGGTGGAGGCAGTGTCACGACTGCTTCTGGTCCTGGGTCACTGGTCTTCTTCGAGGATATAGCTAGTGATGGTAGCAGCAAAAAAAAACGAAGTTTGCATAAATATCTTGCCCTCCCTGTCCCAGCATGTGCCTCTGAACTCTTTGGCTGGAAGTTCATAATGCAGCAGGACAGTGACCTGAGCGTAATGCACAGGTCATTGTTTTGCTGCATTATTATCAAGCCAGTCTGATTTTCTATTGATGATGCATTTCATCTATTGGAGGAACAGAAGGAACAGAAGTCAGAACACCTCAAAAACAAGCTTCAACATGAAGCGGCTGCCATAAAGGCTCGTCCGAGCGTTACAAATGAAGTTACCAAGTTTTAGAATGAGCCTGTTGATGTGAATGGGTCACGGACTTCAGGTTTGGGATCGAATATTAACTTAAATCAGCTTCATTTTGCTTTAAATGTTTTTGTTCCAAGCTGAATTTGGAGTAGTAAACACAACAATGTTTTTTATTCCTATATTGTTTGTGTTATATGATAAAACATTGCCCAGAAATAAACGATGACATATTGTGCTTTAGTCTCATGGTCACATTTTGCTTTGGAATACAAATTTTGTGAATATCTTAACAAAAACCCATTTCACCTCATTATACCCAAATATTTTGCTTCTCACTGTATGGTCTGTAGAGTTTATGCTCGCATTAATGAATTGCAGGCTAATCTAAACCTTCTGCCTTCTTCAGAGATAACCTTGGGCCCATCAGAGTAGATGAGGTGCTCAGCAGCTTTGACAACACCGGAAATGTCTGTGAGTACTCTATCTTGGCACAGTATGTGAGAATTTTGAACACAATCTGTATATAAACTTCTTTTTTTTTGTACATTCACCATTCAAACACTTTGTATTTGTGCTTTGTATTTAGCCTCACTGACCACTTTATATCAAATACATATGAGGCACAGCAGTGATGTTGGAGCTTATATATCAGTGTCACTGCTGAGTTGAGAGTAGGTAGCTTGTCAACTGCCTGCAGATAAGTTGGACCAATCTGCGTCACCAAACAGCCATGTGCAGTGTACATAACGCAACCACAAGAAACTGCCTGTCTGGTCCGCTGTGTTCAGCATTCAAGCCTCAAGCCAGAAAGTGCATGAATATTTTGCGTGGATATGCTGCTCTTCAGGGCCAACAAAAACAGGCCTTGACCTTAATTTATAGAAAATAATCACAGTTTATATTACTGTCACAATAATAGTCAGAAAAATTGCAATTAGATATTTTCCCCAAATCGTCCAGCGCTAATCAAGATTACAATCACAATTGATTACAATCTCTAAAGCCTTCTGGCAGTTTTGTAGTTGTCACAAGGACACTAGTGTTAAACATAAACAACAGTAGCAAAAATGGAGGACCTTCAAGTTCTGATTTACCTTTTTCTTGCTGTTTGGTTTTATGTGTAAAGTCACTCACTAGCTAGTGTTTTTTCAGGCTGATTTGAGTAATGATGTGATGATTCTCTGATGATTGTGTTTGACCAGTCAATGATATGCACTATTTCTGGCTCCACCCATATATCCGGTAACCAAATTCTCACGTACAGTATGGGTCATTTGGCTGTGGAAACAAAGTCAAGTTGACAGATTTATAACTGGGCCGTACCGAACGGCACTACTCTGGAAAAAACGGCAGAACTGGACACCACCAAGGTAGAAATTTCTTCATGCAGGCTTTGTTGAAGAATTGGAGACTTCTGGTCTCACTCGCTGTCTTCACTTTGACTGTGGCATTTGAGTGGCTGGTGTTGGTAGAGTGAAATATGGAAGGTGTTTGTGAGTTTGGGTTCTGCTTCAAGCTGCAGATCCCTAAGGAACCACTGGCAGGCACACTTGAGCAATTAGAGATGTCTAATTTATTCTTCCTGTGAAGAGGAAGTAAATGTGTAAGATTTGTTTGGAGCTGAATTTACTGAAACTGTAAGAGTAAATCGTACTGGATTGTTCAGATCTTTCATTGCCTGTGCATTCAACACTGTACAGAGAGTTTGTAAAGAACTCATAGCATCATAATGCATAAGATTATTTTTATATTTTAAACATTGTCTCTAGGGTGCAGCAGTAACACCAAAATGAGACTTCTCTGTAAGTATTATGAATCAGTGAGGCAGTCATGTGATTTTGTGGAGTATACTGATGGTCTCCTTTGAAAAGCAAATATACTGACAATCACAATGAATCTGAACTATTCATGTACTTTGTTGCATTTTTGGATGTCACTGAAGCATGTGATCTATATGTTATTGTTTCTTATGAATGTGGCTGTTTTGTTATGCTTAAATTAACCATTACATATGGATGTTGGAGATTTGGAGGGGGAGGGGCGGGGGCAGGCTGGTGTATTTCCTCTCTCTTTTCTTTCTCTCTCCTTTTGTATTTGTTACAAAATGTGAAACACAGCAAAAAATGTGACTCAACACACAGTACAATGTCTTCTTAGAAGAAAGACCCCCGGCCGTATGGTGGATTTCAGTAAGTTAGTCAACCCCCTTTCTGCTATCTCTGCTAACTGCCTTGTTCTCTGGTTGGATTAACACGAGCTGGCAGCATCGGCTCTCTTTGGCCCGCTGCACCTCTTCAAGGCAGGGTCATCCTTTCTCTTTTCAGGCCTTCCTCTCAACCACCCCTAATTGATCTCACGCATTGGTAGGTCCAAACATCTCCCCCCATGTTCTTGTCGGCTCAGCTAGCCTGCTGTATTGTCTGAGGAGGGAGGGGGTGCCCTTCTATTACCTATGCTCCATACCAAACTCCAAATCCTTGCCTAAGGACTCAACTAGCCTTAAAGTCTCTGTGTCCTCTGAGGTGCTGAATGTGGATTACTTATCCAAATGTATAGATTAGGGTGATCTGCCTCATCAGGGCTGGAAGGCCTGCTCGTACTGTGGATTTAAGTGCTCTTGTTTCCAGCAGGGATCAAGAGGGACACAATAGGTCTTATCTGAACATGCTGGATGGACATGAAGGGCTTTGGAGAGGCTTGTTGACCACCAGTATGGACTCAAACACCAGCTTTTCCTTCCTCACGTGTTTGGGACTGATGTGCATCAGATGAGATCCTGGAGAATTTGCCATATTTTGAAGTAAAAAAGTTGTAGTCTAAGCTTTTTATCTTCTGTTTCTGTGTTATGTGCTAAGATACATGCTATCCTACTTTGCTAATTACTTCTGCCACCACTAGGATACCTCAGCGTGTGTCCATACAGGGTCATATGTCAGGGGTCAAGGCTTCCTGTGTTGGAGTGAGGAGTTAAGGAGACTCCCCACTGAAGTGGCCTGAACCTGATCACATGACAAGAGGCTAGGCTGGACATTATGGGAAGGAATTGGACTCCACTGACCTTCACTCACAGAGTTGCCCTGATCTTGCAAAGCTCAGCCCCTTTGGCCTCCATAAATGCTCTTCATAGGCAACTTTTTGTGGTTGTGCAGTTGGTTGTATTACTGTTCTGGTTTCAAGGCTTAAAGCAACAGTTTGGCAAAAAACTCCCCACCCCAAGTGTAGCTGATCAATCAAAATGAGTTTATGGTCCAAAATGTTTTTTTTAGATTTACACTATGGGCTAAATGAGCTAATTTAGTAATGTAATTAGCATACGCTTATTAGCATTACACATACTACACACCTCAAACTTTGTCGACACTGTGTGACACACTGTTATCTGAAGAATGCACAGGAGTGTATCACATAGGTAAAAAGAGTAGTAGCAGCCATCTTGAAGCCTCAATTTTCACTTTTGTATATTTTTATAGATAACAGTGAACCACACATGTATATCTGAGTCATTGTTCACATATACAATGTCACCGCATGAACTACATGGAATCAAGTCTACTTTGTGCCTGTCACAATTATTATATAATCATCAGATTGCAATTATTTGATCTGACCACAATTTTTTCAACAATTATTAGCTTTCACAATATGTTAAAAGGACTCATATCCTATGGCTTTCTTGTATTTTATCTTTTTCCTTAAGGCATTTTCCTTTCTGTACCAAAAGTAATCGTAATTAATTTTTATGTGACCGTTTTCCAACCTCTCTTTATCCCCTAGAATTAAACGGGCTGTTTTTTGTTGCTGTGCCTTGAAGACATATATATGTAAATAAGATATGTTCTGATTGGCTGCCCTATTTTGAGCCTCATTCTAAAAGCAGTCCTGGCTGAAACACTCCTTATAACTTCAGTGTAAATGGGTGGAACTAAACTGCTTGGGGATGAATAGGCAGATAAGTGTAAAAGAGTTGTTTCCCGTGACATCACAAAAAAGTGAATTCAGAATGAGCTTTTTTTATCAGCTGAGCTTTCACATAAGGGCTGTATAGACTGGGTGACTGGTGCATTTTTTATTTTACATCAAACTGTTATTAATCTTCAAAAAATGTGAGCAAAATTTGGTTTTCCAAGATATGGACCCTTTAAGTCAAAAGTGGGTGTATTTTCCCCCATTAGGTTGAGGGAAATGCATAGAAAGAAAAAAAAAGTAACTGACTGATGCAATTTGGTGCAATCTTCTGTAGAGGGGAGCAGTGAGTAATGTTTGTTTATTTGAGTTTAAGCTGTGTCTGTTTTCAGAGCTGCTGTGTATTAACAGCTGGGAAGTAAGATAGCTAATCAGCTAATTTGGCCACTGTGAGTGTGTCCTTTAATAGATACATACAGCGAACAAAAAAGAGTTACATTTTAATCACATTCATATAAAAGACAATTTATTGGCTTTTAAAATGTCATGGTTGTGACAGGCCTAGTCTATTTCAGATTGAGATTACCTAACAACCTGATGTGGTTTGAGACACATGTGCAATGATTAAGGCCTGTGATTCCATACTATGCCAGGTAAAAGTTTCCATTAATTGTTAGCTACATTGGCCTCATAGCTCCAATGTAAAACTAAAGAATCAAACTTTAAACGTCAACCATATCTTGGCTTTAACCACAAGAGGTGCTACAGCACCATCTGTGCATTAGCTGTTAGTGAATCTCCTGTTTTGTGTGTGTGTATGTGTGTGTTTGGGGAGTGTGTTACACACACATATTTGTTTATGTGGATGTTTGTGTGCCTCCCGTGGTCTCCCCTCACACCCCTGTCTCTCCCACTCTCTGCTTGGGCAATTATGCAGATTTAGGCTCCCAGAATGCTAATTGCCTTGAGTGAGACAATAGCTGTCCAGCAAGGCCTGGTTAGCCCTCTGGAGCCTCGAGGGTCTGCTGTTCTGACTCTGTGTGACTCTTCACTCGTGTACTGGTAATGCTTAATTAACACTTCTCTCCGCTGATGTTTATCGGGCGACTTGCTGACCAGACTCTTGCATACAAACGGCCAGTCCAGTATGTATGCAGATGGGGTGGGGCCAAAGTGCAAAGCGCCTGATCTCATCATAAGCAATGAGAGTGGCTTAAATGAGTCAGATGCTTTAGTGGTGAAAATGTCTGAGTTGCTGTGTCGTTGTTCACACTGTCATCAACAGAAAGCTGCTTTATGCAATAATCCACTTTCAGTGACCAGATTTTTAGAAAGTTTCCAACTGACCACCACGGATGTCCTCTTTACTTTCAGAAAATAATGTCAATGTGCCTTATAGATCAAAATCTAGGGTTATTTTTTCATTAATTTTTGAGCTACAGAGGCTTCAGGATATGGCTGTATGGCTGTAATTTTTGCCTTAAAATAAGTTCTGCAGAAAAGGTGCAATTGGATGAGTTGTTAAATTTGAACTATTGATGCTAGATGCATAATATTTTCAGAGATTA